CAAGCAGCAAGTTTTTTATGTGAACATTTTTTGGTGAAATTTTTCCTGAAATGTAAAAATACTGACCTGCTTCCCCAAGAAACAGAATGCAGCACTAATGTAACGGAATCTTCCTTAATGACTAGACCCTTGTTAAGAACATTCACCGTTTCACTGGGCTGAATTCACAAAGGCACTGTTAGGACGTGTTTATTTTCCTCTATCTTCCCTATCTGTCATCTGCCATTTCTTCTGCTGTCATTTTTTCTGACCTAATAGCTCCCTTAGCTAATGTGTTTCTCAAAGCCCCTGCACCCTAAATTTTTTGTGAGCTAAGACAATAGGAAGTAAAGTTTGTTTAGAGGTGTGTGTTCACACACACACACAAAGAATTTGAGAAAGTCGATGGCCATTGTGTTGGCACGATGTGAAGGTCATGAAGATTATTTTTGGTATTTAGACTCTTAGGGTTATTTCCTAGTTTCTATGTCCCTGGGTTTTGGGTTTGCTAAAGTCACACTTCCACGTAAATGAGGTAGGTATATATGTCTTCGAGAAAAACTAACCTTGGTACAATTTGGGATTGACTGAATGAGTGAACCTTAAATGATTTGAAGCATTTAAACCATTATTTTTTTTACAAAGCAAATGATAGAATATTTTTTAATATGAACCCCTAATGTATATTTATAAATGATATACAAGTGCTTTTGTACTAATGTGTTATGTACATTATAAAACATACTCAAAGGTAGAAATTACAAGTAATAAAATAAAAACAAATACAAGTGCTCATATTAAAAAATTTTCTCATTGTTCTTTCACATTGCAGAGAATTCTCGTGTGCACCCCCGGGGAAGCATGCACAATGACACACCCGGCTTGTAGAACTCTGGTTAAGATTACTATGTGAGGATAGTTACTTTGACTTGAGCTATGCTAATCAGCCTCTTCCCAAGTGAAAATTAACTTAGCTGCTTTTCAACACCTCAAATCAAAATTTTTAGCTCCTGAGTCTTAAATGTGGCCTAGCATTTAGTAGGTGCCCAATAAATGTTTGATGAATGTTGAATGAGGGGTGAAGATTAAGTAGTCCATAGGGATGCTTTATAAACTCATTTAATTAGTTCATTTTATCTGCTTAGCTCATGTCAGACTTCTTTGACATGTTCACATATTCTATCATCACTCGTATGTATATCACTAGGCAGAAATGGCTGCAATACACATTGGGATTTCAGTGGTAGAGGGCTTTGAACCAGGGCTAGAGCATTTAATTGTAATGGAAGGCTGGTCCCAGGGACAGTTTCCACCCATCCAGATCATTATAGTATGAGGCGTGGCAAAACCTGGTTGAACGAAGACCATCATGTGATACCCATGGGCATCTGGGAGGGTGGGTGGGCACTGGCAGTCGTAGTAACTAAATAATGGTTCTCAAGCCAGGGAGAAAACAGTATTATGACCTTGGGAAGGCTGTGGTGAAAGGGAGAGGGGCCAGTGAGGACACACTTGTATTGAGTTTCAGGGCATAGCTGTGTCTTTGGCCTTCTGCCCTTATACTACATGTTCATCTTGGGCGCTCATACCTTCTAGCCAGTGAAGTACCATCTATGGGCTTATGTTCCCAACACTTATCCAACAACCTTCTGGATGCTTGCAATTAGCTGTCTCGCAGGTACCTCAGACACTACATGATCTACATGATTAATTCAGCAGCTTTTCCCGAACCTGCTTCTCCTAAATCTTTCCATCTCCACGGGTAGTATTACCACCCTCCACCTAGATGCAGAAAGCTGCAAGTCACCTTTCATTCCTCTAGCTCCCCACCTTTTGTCTCTATTTGGTTTCATTTCCACTGCCAGCATCATCCCTTGCCTCCTTATTGGACTCCCGAGCTCTAGTCTCGGTGCCTCCAAGCTGTTTTATGTATTATGCTGTTATAAAGGGAAACTTGGGTAATAAATTCTCGTTCAAGGTTAGCAAGACCCCTGTTTTTCTGCTCAGCTCCATCCCCATCACTGTCCCCCCTTGCATTGGTTATCCTCTGACATTGAACGTCTTCAGTTCTTCAGAGATGCTTGGCTGCCCTCCCTCTGGGCTGCCACCCACATGGCTCCTTCTACCTGGAGCAGTCTGTTTCTCCTCTTTTCACTTTCTCCCTCTGGTCTTAACAGAGACATAATTTTTTCCAGGAACTTTCCCTTGGTTCCTAGACTAGACTGCATCTCTCAGCTAGGTTACGATCCTAGCATCCCAGAACTTCCCTTGCCATGTCCCCCAGCAACTCTGTTGTTAAGTGGTTGTGTAATCATACTTCCTTCTAGACTGTGAACTCCATGGGCAGTGGTCCCATTTATCATCTTCGTTGCTATGTCCCCAGAACCCACCACAGTGCCTTCTACCTCCACACATATTTGTTGAATCGAAGAATGAGAGAACGAGGGCATGGAGTGCTGCTCATGAGGAACCAAGCTAAGCGATTAGTCAGAATGAACAAATACAGCAAGGGATGGAGTAAATGGGCAGCTTGGGGAACACTTAGGAGCCTGCACTTAATTTCTGGTCTATCAGATGCCACCTTTATACCTTCCAGAGGGAAAACCTGAGTTTACCTAAACAAGTGACATAGTCTGCCTTATAGTCAGATAGGTCTGAGTTCTAAATTCTAGCAATGCAATCCTGGGAAATTAGTGGTGGAGCTGATGTAAAAATTCATCGAGAAAGTTTGTGTAAAGTACATGCATGGTTACCTGGTATGTTGACGTGGCCCTTGTGATCTCGTCATTATGCCATGCTCAGTGTAACCCCTTGAAATGCTTTTGGTGTCTAATAACAGTTAACAGTTTTGAGCATCTGTCCTCATATCTGACATTCTTCCAAATGCTATAGGAGAATTATCTTTTTATATTTTTAATTTCTATTTTAATTATTTTATAATTATTTTTATAATTATCTTACTAGCCCTCCTGAGACTCTGTGAAGAGTTTCTCTTATCATCCTTACTTACGAGGCAACCAAGGCAGAGTTTGACTAAGTTGGCCAAAGTCACATAGCTGAACACAATACAGCGTTTGACCATCATGGTGATTTTACAACACAGCCTCACATTTACTCCTATTTTTATTTGAATTTTACTTCTTCCCCATAAAAAAGTAAGATGTTTAAAATCAAGGAGTATTGATTGAATCACCTACTATGTGTGCAACATTAAGTACTCTGTGAAATTACCAAATACTTATCACTGACTATAACTTTCTAGAACAGTGGTATAACTTCTTGATATTCATGGACTTTACCATCTTTGTGAGGGGATCAAAAAAAAAAAAAGTCAAGGAAATAGTAAGAAAGGGATAAAAGAGAATCTTTCAGAATGGTTACTTCCTATCCTGTTCCTTTGATTGCAGATAACACTGCAGTATGCAGTGATGCTTTGTAAATGTTCTTTCTTTAATGGTAATGCAGTGATCCTCAGAGCTGATCTGCTTCCATCAAGTAGATTCCAGAGTCCAGGCCCCCGTACAAGTTTTCAGGAAAGTTAAGGCACTTTTATACACACCATATCTGAAACCTCTACACTAACAATAAAACAGAAGGAAAAAAATGTTAGTCATAGGTCATTAGGGAAAATGTCATTTGGTTTTTGGGGAGTATGGTCTGAATAACTGCCATCAGAAACTTGAAAGGCTGTGCTTTTCAGGTTTAATTGAAAGTAAGTTTGGTTGCACTGACTCTAAAGTTAAGAAACAGGTCTTGTCAATCAATTTCAATTGGTTTTTTGAAGAAATGAGATTCTGGGGATATTATTAATGATACACCTAGAAAGATACATCCAGTGCACATTTTCTTCAATTTTGTAACATGGTTGTGATTCCTCTCTTGTTCTAGGGATTCAAAGAATGAGTTTGTTCTACCTTTTTACAAATGAATTCTGCATTTCACTTACAATGAATGAAAAAAAAGCACAAGTTATTTGAATCTATTATTAAAGTACTTTCTATCTGCAAATTACTTTGTACTTGTTATTCTAGGCTCATCAGATTAAGCTACAATCAGAACGTCTGAAAGTCCCTCGGCCTTTTACTTCCGACCACAAGTTTATCTCGCCACAGAAGCCATTCAGTGTGTATGTAGTAGGCCTGGCTTGGGGCCCTGGGCCTCCTCAACCATGTCAGCCTGGATGCCTCCAGTTGATCCAAGCAAGTGCAACTGGTTTTACGGATCTAGGATCCTGTTTGACCAGAATAAAGGCTTGAAAAAGAATAAAGGTAACTTAAGAGGCACAGAGTAAGAATTTAAACACTCTGCTAAGGGTCACGGTTTCAAAATCACACTTTTGCTATCCCACCAGTAAAGTTCGAGAAATATTTGTACTTTTTATGGTTTTGCGTTGTCCACCCTAAAGGTCTCTCCTTCACTCATATAGTTCCCAGAGCTTCCAGTAGGTCTGGGACAGGACTGGGAAGAAAGGCTGGAAGAGAGGGGTTGGGGGGGAGTCTAGGCAGGAAGATGCCCAGGCAGCCAGGGGACCAGCCAGCTCCCTCCTTTCGCCCAGCCCCTAGAAGAACCCCTTGCTCAGAGCCAGCCCATTCGGGCTTTGGCCTCCTGACCCAGACAGCTTGGGCCCAGAGGGAGCCCACGTTGCACCGCCCCCAGGCTCGGGCCACCCGCCAAGAGTTCAAGGCCGCCCGATCCGGATATGATGAAAAAGAGCAACAGAGGGAGAAGTGTTTCAGGAGTGAAGGGGTGGAGGACGGCGCGGGGAGGGGGGGAGAGGCAGAGGGGCACAGTTCCCTCGGAGGGGAACGGGCTGGACTGAGCTGGCTGGAAAGAGGGGGCGGAGAGCGCGGAGTGAGAGGAGCGGCCCCTGGCGCAGTTGCCGCCACTGCAGTGTCTGGGCTGAGCCCGAGGGAGGCGGGGAGGGACGCGCAGGGGCGGCCGCCACTGCTGGCGGGCCACTGGGGCGAGATGCGGCTGCTGCCGGAGCTTCGCTAACTTTCCAGGCGGAAGAGGAGGAGGAGGAGGAGGAAGAAGGGGCTTTGAGAGAGTTGGGGGTGGGGGGGATGCCGAGGTAGGTGGTGGTCTGCCGGGTCAGGAGGAGGAGGGGTTTGGTCGCCTTCCCTAAGCTTCCAAATCTAGTCTCCCTTCTCCGTCCCCCTTCACTGCCTCCCGCCCACAACCGCCCCCGCCTCCCGTCCCCCACTGTCAACGTGCAGGGTAGCAGTTTTCCTCCCGGGTTTCAAATCAAAACTTCTCCGGGGTGGGGTTTGGGGGAGGGAAACGGAGGGGGAGGGAATGTCCCGCAGGGGTGGTGTGCTGGTCTCTAAAAACACTTTTTTTTTGTCTGCCAGAAGCAGTTCGTTCTCTGCACCCAACACCTAAGAGCCCTTCGTGGTCCTCCCCGGGGGCGGAGAGCTAGGCGGCAGCGCGGCGCGGGCTCCGTGGAGCGGCCCATGTCCGGCGCGGGTGAAGCCCTCGCTCCCGGGCCCCAGCGCGGGGCCGAGGCGGGCGGCGGCGGGCTGGGCGCCCCAGCCCAGGGTGAGTGCCTGCTTGCAAGTTGCAAGCCGCTTTGTCATTGTTGCATTTTTAAAAATTGTTCACACATTTACTGATTGGGGGAGGGGGGTGGAGGTTGGTGCGGTGAGGATGGATTCTCACCTCGTACTTGGGAACTTTTGCACAGTTAGTGTTACTCAAACAAGTTCTCCAGGACTCCAGCCCTAGATCAACAACCGGATAAGAGGGCGGTATCCGCTGGTCCTTCCACTCCCCCTTCCTTTGGCTGCGGGGAAACTGGATGACAGGATTGCTTTTTTCTTAAGCATATGCATTTTGGGGCCTAAGACTCAAATGTGTGGGATCCCTCCCTCCCCTGCTTCACTTCAGTTCTAGTGTCTTCATCAGATTCCGGTCTTCTGAACAAGTATGCACTGTCCGTTCATCTTTCTGATTCTTGTGGGCCACTCTGCGACTCAGTTGATGATCCAGGTTTCTATGACCAATTGCTTTGGAATGGCTCACGCATATGTTTCAATAACTGTTTTGTTTTGAAATAAACATGCTTTTAAAGAAACACTTTCCAAGAATGAATTAGCTCCTTTGTGTTCTTCCAAAGTGTAAACACAGGGAACCTGTAAAGAAACTAATCTTGTTTGTGGGAAACATCCCTAACAAGCTTATAAACAAGTCAGGCAGTATCTTTTTTTCTCTTGAAGGTAACATACTTCAGGTTTTCAACGGCGACAGTGAACAATGGCCTTTCTCTTCAGATGCATTTTCCTCTAAGGGTGGCTCCGATTTAAAAAGTTCTGGGACTGATACAAGCTAAATAATTTTTCAGGTCTCAGAAACCTACCTTATACTCTTGATTTTAAAAATATCTGATAGCTTTTCTTTTTCTTTGACAATAATGTAGTGAGCTTTTGGGGGTTTTGTTTTGTTTTGTTTTGTTTTTGTTGTAAGGCAGCAGAAATGGAAAAGAAGAAGTTAATGTTGAATTCAGAAAAGGTGAAAGCAGAAAACATCCATGGCTAAATTAGAATGTTCTGGCATTCAGGGCTGTTAAATTGAATTATGTTTATCATTGCTTTTTGCTTCTAAACAGTGAGTCATTTTTTTTTTTCTAAAGAGAAAATAGAGCGAATCAGAGAGCTTGAATGATCAACATATTTTCCCAGAAGCAGCCCACGTTCTGCACATGGTATTGCCAACATAGTCATTTTCCTGTTAGGCATGCCCTTCATAGTCTTAACGACTCATTGATGTTTATATTCACATTTGAGCTGTTAATCACTATTGTTAAACAATGCTTATGTCAAAATGCACATCAAATATACTACAAAAACAATTGATTTGATATAGTGATACCTACAGTGTCTAACTTTAATGCATCTTTAGAGTCAGAACTTGCAGTGGTACTGAATATACATGTGCAGATGCAATGCTGTAGAATACCACATCATCTGACACTAAGAAGTGGGCATCTAGAATGGTCTGAGCTGCAGTTGACTGCATACAACACATTATCAGTGTGGAAACTCTTGGGTTATATTGTACCTGAAAATTGACTTACCATCAGCAACATAGTTACATAGTGCTTTTTTATTAGTTGATCTTTGCCTCACAACATCCTTTAAATAGGCGTTAAGTGTAATATAAAGTTAATTTTTAAAAAAGAAAATCCTCAGGATCTTGTTATAATATCGTGTCTCTTATAAACAAGCAGATTTCATAAGGTGTATTGAAAGAAAAAAAAAAATTGGAGCCAGTAGGTAGAATAAAAGCTTCAAGATGCTGCCTTCCATGCGTAAGTTGGTTTTATTGGTAAAGACATTAGTGAAGAGAGCAGCTTTGCTCCCGGAGCACCCTACTCTCAAGCTCTTGCTTGAGTTCTTTTATCGTCTTCCTTCTGTCCTTGGATTCTTTTACCATTCTTTCAGAAGAACAGTTTAATCATTCTCTGGTAAGTTGTGGCTGCTTAGTTAATGGAAACTTAATTTAAAATTTTTGTATATTAAAATCAGAAAAATGGAGTGTTTTATGAAAATTAGCAGAAAATACCTTTTCATGAGGGGAATGTATAAGGTCAAGTCTTCCTTTGTAAGCAAAGATACACAGATGACAAGATAAAACCTATATGTATATTATTGGATTATGATGAGCTATCCATACTGCTAACTAAGGACCTACAATGTTAGAGTTAAAAGACATTTTAGGGCATCTCTAGTGAACTCACCATCAACTCTAGAATCCCTTTCTCCCTTCTTTCAGATGGTTAGTTACACCCCAAGGTGTAGCTCGTTCTACTCAGCAGCATTCAGAGTTAGGAAGGTTTTTCTTATTAAAAGTATAGTTTTCTCTCCTCAAAATTTCTACTCTTTTCCTGTGATTCTGCAAGGAAAATTATATTGCTTTGACAGCATTAAAAATATTTTCTGTGTATTTTGAAAATTGTTACAGAGTAAGGACATAAGCTCATATGCTCCAGGCTCTAAGAGGGAACCAGGAGCCAGGACAGGTGTCAGAAGGTAGGGAGCAGCAGGGATTGCCGGCCGTGGAACGGGGCATGTGTCAGGAGGCAGTACGGCTCCACTCCAGCTCATTGTTGCCACTGGGGCTCGCATCTTCCATATTTCAAGAGATACGGGAAATACAGATTTTTATCTGTATCATCTGTCCCTTTTGAAAAGTTGGCAATTGATTAAATACAATTTTTGTACAGGCCAACAAAGCAACTACACTTTCAGGCTGGAAATGGCCTCTAGGCAGCTGATCTGTTATCTCTGTTACAGAAAATAAAATGTAAGCATGTATTTATAACTCTTTCCCTATTTATGCAGAGTACTTGCATAAATGTCTTCGTAGGTGAAGGATGATTTGGTCCAAACTTAATTTTGTCTTAAGAGAGCGTGGATCCTAATACATTGTATGTTAATTAATTAAATTTAAAAAGAGTGGATCCTGTGTCTGTGGTTCATCAAATTGTCATTTATTTTTCTTTTTTGGATGAGACATCTTAAAATTCATTGTGTAATCAACATGGAATATGTAGGTACTTACCTTTTGGTGCAGTAGTTACTAGAATCCATGCAGTGGAAAGAGCTTTTTAATTAAGTGCTTCATTCATACATTTGTGACTTGTAACTAGAAGGATTTTTAGAAATAAAAAGCCTCACTTTTTAGAAAGGATGCCCAAAGAATTTAAGTGACTTGGCCAGGGTCTCACGCAGTCAGTAGAAATCAGGGTAGAATCACAAATTGCAGAATGTATGACATTGTGATAAATGTGGTTGAAGTAGAGAATCAATATAACTTTCCTACGGATGGATGAATTGAAGATAATAGGCTTTGGATACTGTGAATCACTTGAGCCTGTTCCAGTCGCTGCATCACCCCCCCACCCCCCACGCACCCCATTGCATTTGCCAAGACTTAGACTGTTGGACTGTGAGTGCTGGAATATACTTTAATGTGATAATGTGTGATTTAATGCACTCTTCTCTCTTGGGAGAGTCCTCTGAGACTATTAGGCAGACTTTTCATAGCAGGATGCAAAATGCCAGTGAAGTTAATTAAAAATAATTTAAAATAGAAGCTAGGGAGGAAATCTTCAAGTTGAAATTACATAAGAAGAGCTTTGACTTAGAAGCTTAGCTGAGTTGTCAGGAGTTTATAGTGGCTAATCAGATTTCCTTTATGGGAAGCCTGTTTATTTCATTTTATACAATGTATGCTTGTAATACCCATATTCTTCTTGTATCATATTGTTTTATCCTTCTGATTCAGGATGGCATTTCTCAAAGTGTGTCATCTTTGGATGGCTTCTATCTCTGGTTCCAGTCGGGAGTGACTGTGCTTCCAAGAGACATTTGGCAACATCTGGAGACATGTTTAGTAGATAGATGGTGAGTGGAGTGGGTCCTCCCAGGATCTAGTGGGTAGAAGCCAGGGATAATGCTAAATATCTTACAATGCACAGGACAGAACAGCCCCTTACAACAAAGAATTACCTGGCCTTAGAATGTCAGTAGTGTTGAGATGCTATCCTGATCTCTCAAGGCAATTGGCATTTTGGGCCTCACTCTAGACTTAAAGAATCCATCTCTGGGTGGGAGGCTCAAGAATCTGCATTTTTAACAGACTCCAGGTGCTCTTTATCTCTGGTTGAGAGTCATTGTTTTAGAGTCTTTTATCTGTAGAAAGACAAGTTATCATAGATTTCTAAGAAGTCTCTTTTTTAGTAGAAAGGCTTCAGAAATCTTTAAAAAAGTCTCTTTTTTCAAGTTCCAAATTTTCCGTCCTATCACTCTATATTACTGCTCTTCAGCATTTTTATTACATACCCCAATTAATAAAAATAGTGCTGAGTCTTCATCTTCAGAGAATTTTCTAAAATTTTGTGTACTATCATACAAACGTATTGTGAACATTAGAAAAATACCTAAATAAGAGTTGTAAGCGGATGAGATAAAGATAAGTGAAATAGATAAATAATAAGGAAAGGAGTGCATAATTTGCACATTAGCTGTGTTTCTTTGTAAGTTGGAGTTTTGGAATCTCAATGATCCTTTCTCATAGAAACAGTGATCGATTGAACCTTGTTATGTGACAAGTACAGCGAGAAATAGAGGGAATGAAATTAGGGTCTCATAGAATGCTGGGGAATCCCATACATTCACCCATAACTATAATGCAAGGTAGACTGATAGGTACTATAACAGATGTACAAAGAAAGTATGATGGCAGAACATGGGAGAGAGAAAGTATCTCTAGCTGGGGCATTTGGAAAAACGTCAAGGAAAACTTGTGATTTGCACTGGATGAAGAAGCGTGATGGTGGACTCAGCTCTGTGGAGATGGACGGTGGGAAAGCGGAGCTTGGAGGGGATTACTACAGAAATGCTAAATCCTTCACTAAGCCCACTGTATGGGTTGTATGAAGAAACAAAGAGTGAGATAAGGTTGAGAAGATAAACTAAAGTGATTTTGAGGATGGCCCTAATTCTCCCCGGGGTGTTTGTATATCCTTTCTGGAGGCA